ACAAGCACATTTTAGCTTTTAATAGAGCTACAGCAGGTAAGTGAGGCATTTTCTTCTTGCATTCATTGCCGACTTCCTTAACAAACTTGCCAACGAAAATGGCAGCCAATTATGACATGTGGGCAGATACCGTATATAAAATTAATGAAATTCATTTCCAATTCTCACTTCCAGTGGTCTATAATTAGTTTTTAAGTCAGTATAGTTTTTAAATTCGTAAATTTTTTATTCATGCATTAAATAATGCAAGCAATGACATATTCCACTTTTACAGTACTTCTGACTATTAAAGCTGTTAGTTTTGTAGTTTTGAATTTACATGTATGCTATTTTTATGATAATTAGAATGTCACGAAAAGCTATCAGTATTGTTCATGGTGGTGGACGAAACTCTGGATGCTATATTTGGAGATGTTGGTACTTAATAGAATAATTATTCATGAAATGATTTATTTTATTATGCTACTAATGTTTAGAATTGTACCTAGAAATTTCTTTAATTGTAGCTAGAAATTACTGTCGCCCAAAATTTCTGTGAATTTTGCAGATTTTATTTTAGGAAAATCACCATGCCTTTCAATGTGTGCTGATTTTAAAGGATTAAATTTTCACAGTTTTTGAAATCTGCATAATTAGCAGAAATTTTGGGCCACAGAAATATCTAGCTCCATGTGTATGGCATTTGCAATGAAAGGTTTATTTTTAACTTCTTATCTCTGTTAAACAGATAACATTTCCCCAAGACTAGATTATTATCAACTCTTTATTTCCCTTGGCACTACTTAATGTGACACCAGTATATTTCCAGGTCAGTAAAAACTATTATTGCTGTATAAAATTTGTTTTCGTTATCTGTAGAATGACATTCCTGTCAAATTATTTTTAGAGATGAAAATAGGCTATACAAAGTTCTTTGTAAACATTAATGCAAAGTACATTACTTTTTACATTTATTATTAATATTGCTTATTCCTTGTAGACTCAACAGAGTAACCTGAAATCAAATGTGTGGCTAAACAAGCATTTATTCATGTTTGAACTGTTTTTTTTACATTTTTGCTTGAGTTATGAACATTATAAATTGAAGTACAATTTAGTCAGTACTGCGCATGCGCAGATTGCGCCCACGCAAATAATTGGATCCATTCCTGTCTTTAACGGCATGTACTTTTGCAGCCTTGCTATACCGGGAAAACGAGCTCCTATGCTTACCAGACTTCTTAGAGGACCTCATCTTGACCAGAGGACTCCAATAGTACCACTAGCATGGCTCTAGACCTTTTCTGGGAGAAAAATAAAAAATCTGCAAACCGGCCGTTTTGTTCAGCCACCTTTTTTCATCTTCATCATCAGGAAAGTCCTGTCAATCCAGTTGTCGGTCGATATATCGATCTTACCTGGTGATAGAAGGCTAATTGTTACACCATTCTACTCTAACAGGGTATGTGCAGGTCCTTGTCCCCTAGAATCATTCTCCAAGAAAGGAAGAAGTGATACTGTGACTGTTGGATCGCACCAGC